GGGTGAGCTTTCCATCAAGGATGGCATCCAACTCTGCAACGACAGAATCGGCAGGGGCTTCGGCCTCGGTGAATTCCTTGTATTCAGACCGGACGACATTCCATTGTACAGTAAGTGAATCAGACGAATCGATTGGGGTGATCTGTTGCGCGATTCTGAGAACAACCCCGACTTTTAGGGAGAAAAATGGCTAAATACCCTTCGAATGAATTCTATAGTTTTCCTACGACCATAATTTTGCACGAGGTAGTAGAAAAGTCTGGCCATCCGCGTTCCTAGAAAATCGTACTTTAACGGGGGAATAAAAATATAGGTCACCAGGAAACCGTTACCTTCTTCTGATTCTGCGATGGGGACAACTCCGAATCGAAGAGGGAAGTTTCTGTCAATGATGTTGGCGACTGGTCCACCGATGAAAGTGAGGCTGCTCGTTTGGGACAAGTCGACAACGAGAACAATATTATAAAGATTGAGTTTCACGTTGGGAAATTGCCCAGGGTACACGGGTCGGAGGAGCTAAATGACTTCTACATGAGGGCTAGCCAAGAAAGAGCTGAATACAAAAACTGACCGTAAGGAGGGACGCACTCCATTTCGAGTATCTGAGAATCGAGAGTTCGGTACCAAAGCTTTTCAGAGAGAAGATAAAACGTACCGACTATCTTTCTCTATATCATTCCACCATGTAATGACTTCACCCTTCTCAGGTCGATCGCTGGCATCGAACAATCCATCCAACACATTTTTCCCAGATTGAGATGCACTGATATTCGGATGAGTCAACAACTCTAGTACCTGAGGCCGTGGGATCCCCAGTGCCGCTAACGATAGCATCACAGCTCTCTCCTTCTTCAAAAGTCTCAGCAGCCCCAAAGGGTTCACATCTTTATCTCGAACCGCGGCTCCATTTAACCAGAACATGTGGGCTCCACCCTGAGCTTTCAAGGAATTCTCATGTATTTCCTCCTCAATGCTGGAGTTCACAACGACGCGCCGGGCTACAATAGTCGCGTATTTTGGGAAGTTCTGGGAAAGTTGCATCAAAGTAGCCAGGGGTTCAGAGGAGTCGGCAATGAGTTGTGTCGCTTGTAACCCGATTTCTATCCAAACAATGTTACATAAGTAAATTACGATAAATGTTGAATTACCTTGTAGCTCTCCTTCAGACAACGGTGTTTTCGCACTAGGTGCGGTAGCATTCTCCGGATGCGAATGTATAAGCTCAAGGATAGGGTCTATATCCGATTCTAGGTCTTCATCTTCCCTTGCGTCATCTTCTTTGGTAACTTTTTGAGGAATTAATGAATGTTTAAATGATAATGAGTGGGATAAAGAAACCTTTGTGGCCATTCCTATCATCTATAGCAAGGTAATCCGTCTTTTTCAAATCCAATGCGACGCCGTATCCAGAAAGGTGATTCCGAACCGTGTTGTCACGAGTTTGTGGTGGAATATGCCTGAAAACGTATTCGATTTCTGGGACTGGCTTTTTGGCGAGGGACAATAAGTATGAATGTAATTCCCGGAAGTTCGGTGAGGATAAAGAAGCATAAAAGATAGCTGTCCTTGGTGGTAGCTTCAGCGCTCGGGCACGAGGTGGATATACATGATCGAAAGTCAAGAGCTGCGGCCTAGCATATGACCTACAAAACCGTTCAGTACATGAACATTTGCGATAAATACTGCAACTCACGATGCAGTTGTAGATGAGTTCGAAGGATCAATTGTTTCTGTCCCCGCCAAGTGCACCAACGTTTCTATGTCGCACACCACCTCTCCATACCATTCGACCCATGACCCACAATTGGTTCCACGACTCTTACTATGGTGATCCACATAGTGGTTGTAAAACGCCTCAATCTTCGGGGTGGCTGCATGAAGAGCCAAATTCATTTGCACCGCCTTGTACGACCCCGGCTGCCTGAGGAGACCATTTGTGACTGCAATCTGTAAAGATGCTTCATATATAGCCTCGGGCGATAGTTTGTGCGGAGATTGCAGCAAATCTGGGTTGGTAATACGTTCCAAGAGAGGGAAGAATGCGTTTGAGTTCTCCAATGACACAGTCTCGCTGGTTATGAATTGACCACGTCAGTGAAATGTACGTTCTTGTAAGTAATCAATACGCACAGAACTTCAACGAGTGGTGGAGGTGCAGTCCAAGAGGACCTGAGTGATACTTTTACTGGGGGACTCCCAGCATTCCCTCCTAGTATCGCCAATGAAAATCCCAGAGCCGTTAGGCTACGTTTCATCCTGCGTTTTCAAACGACGCGCGAATCAGTGCTGTGTTCAGAATAACTAACACTGAGTGTTATTCAAAACATATAGACTAGACGCGCGGTGTATGAGGTTATTCGGTCGGAAGAGTTGTGGTCGCTTAAAAGTGTAATGAACACGACGCTCGACACGTCAACCAAAAACCATGCATCTTATCTGATAACCATAAGGAAGTCACGTGTAGATAACTTTTTTCGCGGATCCGCTTTACGATCTGGGTGACTAACTAATCCGAACGTCCATCTACTCGAGTAAAACGTATAGAAAGCTAGGAAACCTACACGATTTCAACAGGAAACATCATATCCTGGAAAAATGGAGTTCACGCCATCCCCCCCAGTGCATCGTGTCTTGTGCGCAGACTGCGGTATGAATCGAACCCTTTAATATATTGGCGAACGCGTACTGATCTAATTCATAGGCACCCCCATCGTCCCCAACTCTGCGAACATGTGTGTTGCGTGTCTGAGAAATACGTATGTAACAAACCCGATTCATTCCCTCGCTAATTCTAATCTTTGATTACACTAGTGTCGATATCACGGAAGGGATTCCTAAGCAAGGTCGGTATTGATACTCTACTCCAATGCACCTTACTTATTCAAAACACCCTACATAGCCTCTGTATCGTACTGCAGGAATTGCGAACGATTCTTATCTCCTCCGGCTTCATGGATGCTTGCTAAGCCCGAGTCTGCTGAGCTTTTGGCTCTATGCCTGAAAAAACTCAAAGGGCTAAACAAAATCCGATTAACCGAAGCACATTTTATTTGGACAGAACCACATTCAAAGAGGCTCAGGGTGTCGATGACAATCCAGAAAGAGGTGCGTACGCCGTATATATTATCCTCACATTTATTAACACTTTATAGGTCTTAACAAATACAATCCTGGAACAAACCTTCGAGATTGAATATCTCGTTCAACATGGCCAATGTCCAGATTGTGCCAAACTAGCTGCAAAGAACACATGGTCCGCCCTCGTTCAAGTCCGTCAAAAAGTTCCCCATAAACGGACTTTTCTATACCTCGAACAACTCATATTGAAACATGGGGCCCAAAAGGATACCATCTCAGTCAAGGAAGTAAAAGATGGTCTTGACTTTTTTTACAGTTCGCGAAGCCATGCTCTCAAGATGGTGGATTTCTTGGGAAATGTTGTCCCGATAAAGCGAGTCTTTCATAAAGGCCCAATTTGCGGAGAGATCTAATCATTATCCTACCACAGATCGAAGTCATCAGAGCAGATCATCTCGTCAGATGTCCACACAAGTACTGCTACCTTCAAATACACATACTCTGTCGAGATCGTCCCAATATGTAAAGACGATCTTGTGTGTATACCCCCCAAGCAAGCACGACACCTCAGTAATATCAGCCCCCTGACAATCTGCACCCGTGTGGGTAATTCCGTACACCTTCTCGATCCCGCGACGCTGCAATCATGCGACATCACATCAACAATGTTCTGGCGGACCCCATTCCATACGCTAGCTACCGTCACAGACCTTGTCGAGTTTACTGTTCTCGATATTGAGCCTGATGGCCGGCGTACGAAGGGTCGTTTTGTGATGGCTGACGCGCAAGTCGCATTGGCGGGCGCATTCCGATCCACGAAAGGGATTCACGAAGACGAGGAGATGATGGATTTCGACAATCGGGGTGTCTCGAACCAGATCTACCATACGCGTACTCATCTCGGTGCGATCCTTCAACCCGGTGATACCGCGATGGGGTATCACCTAACCAACAGCAATTATAATTCCGACGACTTTGCTCTCTTGGACTCTGACCATATACCCGATATTATACTGGTCAAGAAGGCCTATCCCAATCGCAGAAAGAAGAGCAAGTCCAGAGGGTGGAAGCTCAGGAGTATTGCGAAGGAGGCGGGCGAGGAGGGAGAGACTGGGAACGCTCGGGGCATCGTAGGGAGACTCGGTGGTAGAGATCAGAAGAAGGTGGAGGAAGATTACGAGATTTTCTTGCGAGATCTCGAAGAAGACCCGGAGATGAGAAGTGCGGTGAATCTATACAAAGCGCCCGAGGTCGAGATGGCGCCTCCGGAGAAGAAAGGAGGGAAGAGAAAGCCCCAGTTTGCGATGGAAGTGGACGATGCACCACCAGAGGAGATCGTCAAGACTGGAATAGGACTTACCGATGATGAGGAAGAGGAGGCAGACTTCCCAGAAATCCAGCTCGACGAACTGTTGGAGGGCTTCGATGAGATGACGCTCGGGGCAAGCGAGAATGGTCCAACAACAACCGATTAGAATAGACTGTTGTTTATATCATGTATATTCGGCGACCTTCTAATGTTCTTTGAGATGTTTTCAGGTTGTACCGGTGGTCCCCTCCAGAAGCTTTCAGGTTATCATCGACACTCGCATAGTGACTCTCTAGATGGAGAAATTTTCACGATCCCTCTTAGCTCAGCTGGTAGAGCGCGTCACTAGTAAGCAAATGACGAGGTCAGTCGTTCAAGTCGGCTAGAGGGAAGCTTTTTGTTTTACTGTGTAAATGTGTACCAGTATCTTTAGATCAGAACTCTTATTTCATGGCTCTATCCCAACGTCGAAGGAATTTTTTCCCCTCAAAAGCTATGTAAAGAGGCTTCCCGTGGGGCGCCGACCCTAAAGACTAATCATTCCACTTCCTACCGCTGCCTAGGTCCGACATTGATGCGTACACAAGTGCCCAGGTCTTATTAACTTTTAGCATCCCTCTTAGCTCAGTTGGTAGAGCGCGTCACTAGTATATCAGAGTGTTGAGTATATGACGAGGTCAGTCGTTCAAATCGGCTAGCGGGAAATTTTTGGGCCTTCATACTGTTATTGAGCCTCCCACTCATCCAATTCGATCCTCACGAGTTCCAGGCCAAGTACACTCCCTCTTAGCTCAGCTGGTAGAGCGCGTCACTAGTAAGCAAATGACGAGGTCAGTCGTTCAAGTCGGCTAGAGGGAATTTTTAGAACCTTATTTCCTTTGCCTGTTTATTTATGGAAATCTTGGGACATCTTTTTGTTACGCCACCAAATCATCATGAGAGTTCAAACTATATCAGGGGACCAAACATATTCACTGAGAACCGGTGAAAAAGGGACGGAGCCAGGCGATATTAAAAAGAGTCAGAGATGCGCTAAAATGCTAAAACGTTTCAGGCCAAGGTAAAAATTCCCGCTAGCCGATTTGAACGACTGACCTCGTCATATACTCAATACCCCAACATACTAGTGACGCGCTCTACCAACTGAGCTAAGAGGGATTGCGTTACTCCTTCCGTAAAGTGCTATATATCATTATGATCTTTCGGAACCGGTCCTTTGTTTGGTTCCTTCTCACCACCACCTCATAACTCCCAGCCTGAGAAGAACCTTCATAACAACGATGACAACCAGCATAATATGCCTACGGTCCAGCCTCTATCAGATATCTATTATAATTAAAACTGTACCCTCTTCGCATCTCCAGTTCTGATTGTCTCCGAGAACCAAGGATTTGACTCAAGATTCCCGCCAGCGGTTGCTTTCGCATGGTATTTATCCTTCCCTTTGCACAATTATGATTTCGATCTCATGCTTTGCTTTGATGATCTTAGGATCTTTTCAGTTCCCAGTAACTAGTATAATCACCTCATAAGATCTAACGTGGAAAATGACATTTGCATTCCCAACGTCTGGCTCCTGCAACGTGTGAAGTAATGGGCGAAGTTGACGATGATCCAGCCACAAGGGCGGGCAGGTATTGTCCTTGGATTGGAGATATCTAGCACAAATAAATACAGGTGCGAACCGTTCCTGTTCGACTTCACTAAAATCCGCGTTTACTCCGTCCTTCTCATAAGCCGGGGCTCCCCACCACAAAGTTGTACTCCATACCACTGGTTTTTCCCAACATACAACAGACCATGCGCCATGATCACATCTCTGTTCTTCCTTGAACACGCATATCGATATTCCCGTCTTGTTACGGTCATTAGTACTTGCCATGAGTCAAGGTGATGATGTCAGATGTCGACGATCATCGCGCCCGCCAGTCCCGGCGCTGTTTTCACCCGCCTGACTTTAAATATACAGCCCGCCTAGCTCAATTGGTCAGAGCGTCAGACTTTTACGGAGTCTGCGCCCTTCTGGGTATACAGGCATAAGGCTAAATCTGAAGGCTGCGAGTTCGACCCTCGCGGTGGGCTACTTTAATTTTTTTCCAAGCCCCCAGTTCAACCTTTCAACCACACTGCCACTGCACCGATTTCGATGTACACCCCTGCATATTGAAATCTCATTTGGTCAATTTAGCGAAACACTTTCCCAACTAATTAGGTAGAATGGCGAGTAAATATTAATTGGAAAGTGACGTTATATTAATACAAAAAATGATTTGTTGAGTAGATTACAGATAATGTGGCGAGGTTTACGAGTTGAAGTTCTGCTGGGCTTCGCCCTTATCGCGTCGCAAGTTGCCTTAAATAAAGAGTCAATAAATGTTTTCATAGCGCGGCATTTCCTTTTCTCAGACCCACCTTGTGTTTCTTGGGAACTGTCGCCAGTGACTGCACCAACAACGGAATCCTTCTTTCCCCCGATGCGATCGGCAGTACCTTCGGTGTATCCCTTAGTCTGGGCAGCTCGATATTCTGTCTCTCCTTGGGCATGTTCCTGCTTTCCGGATTGTTGCCATGAAGTGGCACCGGTCATATTTCCAATAGTCTCTACGGCTGTGCCTTTGGTAGAGTGAAATTGTCCGGAGGTTTTGCTGTCATGAAAAACAAGTCAATGACCCATACACCAGAGAGGAAGGTGAGTGCATACTTGGGCTCGCCGGAGGTCATGTTGTTGGAAGACATTTTTATTGTTAGTGATAGGGTTGTGATAAGGTGTTATTTAGATTTGGTGAATGGCTGTTATACTTCAAAGCCCTGATACCTGCTGCTTATATATTACTACCAGACAACTGAGGCTCCAAATGTGATGTTTTTATGACGAGATGAGTGCATCACAGTGATGTCATTATTCTAATACGCGTCTCGTCACGTGGTACTCACAATACACCACCTGCACCAGAACGCCACCATAAGCGCCAACGAGTGCTCCATGACCTTGATGTAACATGCATCATAATATATCAATATTGGACGGAGCGAAAAATATATAAAGGGCCTCATATTTTCACAAAAGAAATATCTAAAGTTATCATCTCACTCAATCCTCCATCAAACACATATAACTTCTTACACAAACTAAGTACTATAATGTCGTCCAACAACTCTTCTGCCAACAACATGGCCACCGGAGAGCCCAAGTAAATTTCTTGCCTTCCATGGTACATTTGTAACTAACTTTTCGTTTTCCAGTAAGACTTCGGGCCAATTCCATTCAGCGAAGGGTACCGTCGTCGAGACGATTGGCAACCTGACCGGAGCCACAACATGGCAGCAATCCGGGAAGGAAGAACATGCGCAGGGTGAGGCAGAATACAACGCTGCCCAGGCCAAAGGTTACGCCGAAGGCACTATCGATCGCGCCGCGGGGAAGAAGGATGCCGTCGTTGGCGCGATAACTGGTGACCGGTCGCAGGAGACGCAAGGTTAGTTATACTTTACGAACTACAGTTAATTATAGCCATGGCTAAACAATTGTGGTTAGGCAACCTCCGACATGATAAGGGTCAAGCGAAACAAGAACTTAACCAGAGTGTTTAATAACTTCCTTTGGGCTTGGGGGCACTGTCGTCATTGATACCATTAATTACATATCTACAAGTGATTATATGAACTAAATGGAACAGTTATTCGCATAACTATCGTATACTTTGAAGTTAAAAAACCGGTGTCCGTGCTACTTAAGCTAACCGCAAGCACTCAAGTTTGTATGAGAGTTTAGTCAGATATACATGTATACCCACTGAAATCCTTGAACTTGAAGATGACTTAAGAACATCGGAATATCATAGAAAAGTCACAAATTATTATTAGTATATAGGAGTATTAGAAGTAACGAATATAGATAAAGGTATATGATTTAATTAGCATGTAGAATCTATTAGCAGGCCAGCTGCAACATCTATCCACGCCAGACGGGGGGACCAGCGACCTGGAACGAAGTCGGAACAGGGTCGTAGATGTTGATATTTACACCAGGGCCTGGTAAAGGTCATGAGCACCTGTCGGATAGTCTAAAGTGTTGGGACTCACCAGAGGGGTTGATATAACCGGGGATAGCAACCTTGGGTGGGTTTCCAGACCCGCCACCAGTGATCCTGATCTGTGCGCAGGAAACGAAAGACTCTGAAGGAATAACGTGGAGACCGATCTGCTCAATGCGGACCAGGTACTGGATTGAAATAGTTCGTGAGTGACCGTTACAAGAAAATAATAAAAAAAGATCATACCTCGCCAGCAGGGACATTCTGGGGAATGGTGGTCGTCAGTTGTGATTTCCCCAATGTGGTGAACGAGAAGGGGTTGAGGGTTGCGCCCCATTCAGCGATCTATAATGTTGCGCATCAGCAGGGCCGTGTAGGCGGGAGAAATTTCAAAAGTACCTTGAACCAGTTGGCACCGCTGCCGTCCCAGCTAGCTGCAGAGCCGGGGGCCTTGCCGAGGTAGATCGCGGCAGGGCCAGCGTGGTAGATAGACGCGTCGAGGTTGAAGCCGATAGTGCTTCCGGCTGCGACGGTGACGGTCTCAGCCGCGGAGGAGGGGTTGGTGTTGCATCGCATGTCAGTCGACGTTACAGGTATAACGGGGCTGTTGTTCTGGGGCTGGCGGACGGCTCGAGTGGACGTCTTATCACCTGCAATGAGAGTGGTCCAGATGTCTTGAACAATTATAAGTTAGACGATGAATGAAGTGGAACGGAGGGAGGCGAGACTCACAATGTGCGGATGCGCTCTGAGCGATGAGTGCGAGGCCGAGGATGGTGCTGGCGAACTTCATTATAAATGTAAGTTGGTAGGGAAAGTGAGTGTGTGTGTGTGTGTGTGTGTGTGTGCAAATGAAGACGAGGATGAAACTGAGGACTTGGGAGTACCCATGCTCTACCTTTTATACTATAAATCTAGTCAGTCAATAAAATTTTTCTCGAAAATTTCAAAGATTTTTGGGGTCCAGAAATTTCTTGAAAATGGTAGAGGCACATAACTATTTTTAGGCCGACCCGACGGCAAATTATCAATTGGAAATAGGCGGGGTGGGAGGCGCGATCGCTTACTAAAACGGAAGTTTTCCTCGTGATCAATCCACGAGAGAAAAAAAGGGTGAATGTCGCTACACATTGTGGGGGTGGCGTGGCTTGGCTCCCTTGATTTATCGATACTCGATACGAGTGGTTCAAAGTCTGTGTTTAGTTGTGGATATCTGAAGAAAACGCAAATGGTAATAAGGATTGAGGGTTACTAACAATTGTTCGAGATCATGGGTTTCACGAGCTATTTGCGAAACTTAAATACTACCTCATGTCGTCTTATTAGAGTCAGCTATTTTACCGTCTGCAAACCCAATATGCGAGGCCACAAGCTTCAAGCCATGGAATCGAAGAGAAATTTGGGGTCATGAATGAAATTCTCGGCAAGAAAAAAATGATCGACCTGTATCACATGACTTTTTTTGCCATTCCGTTCCGCGTGGGGGACGGCTCCGATACCCAAATTACTCGCGCTTTATTTGAAAATCAACAAGAAATTTATTTTGGGGCTCTACGGGAGACGAGAATAATGCCAATGAGTGGGGCAGAGGGAAAATCAAATTGAGGGTACTTCACAGCCGGGATCAACAATGCTCATGGCATTCCCGAGGCCGGGTAGTGGTAGCCCAACATACGACGAGGATTGGTAAAGTTGAAAATTTCCGGCCGTTTTGATATAGTAGTCGATCGCCAGCTTTAATGGGGGTTCGTATTCTTCAATCTCATCTGAGAGCTCGTGTGGGATATCGCGGGTCTGAGGGAAGGGGAACGTGACACGGACATGTTCCAAGTCACCGATATCCTTAGCGGTCTTTCTCTCTCGAATAAACTTGATAAGGGAAGCTTCAGAGAAGTTTCCTTGTGCGCATTCAAATACTATTAGTTCAGGGAGTAAGCATTGAGGGTTTGGCGTTAAGAGATCAAGGACACGATCGTTGAAGGAATAGCGTTCTAAAATAGTGTGCAGATCAGGTGATTCGATGACTGTGTGATTTCGTTCCCGGATATGTAACCTGAATAATTCTAGGGGTAGGTTTTTGAAGCATCGCGATAATGCCCTTTCAGAGAACCCGTGGATGTCGAGTGATAGTGATCGAAGACTAGTTGTTTGCTTTAGATAGGCGAAGAAGGCTAGGGGGGGATCACCACGGGCGTTTGAACGATAAAACTCCAGGGTATGAAGAACGGGTGTAGTTAGATACTGAAATATAGAAAATGGAGGATCTGTTGCAAGCTCGTGTTCTTCGATCCCAAGGGTCCTCAAATACGGGACTGTCACCGGGCGAATATATGCGGGGATGAGTCCAAAAAGGGTAATTTCTAGCCAACAGTTGACTAGATTTGGGCACCGACGAAGGAGGAGCAATCCTTCGTGAGGTGATAGAGGTTGACTTTTATTAGGTTGAACACGGAGCTCGGTAAGTTGTTCCCAACGGAGACTGTACGTCAAGATATCTCCTGGCATCTGGCTAAAAGCGACCGCCCTTATTTCAGGTGCATGAAGAAACTCTAAGGAGTCCCAGGTTGCGGTTCTCTTGATACCCTGCTGGTTCTGGATCGTAATAGATTGAAGCATTGGAACATCTTTTGCACGTAGGCCGTCTAAGAGTGATCTTGACGTTAATGGTGAAAAGTCAATATGACGCCACCGATTTGCGAATTGGATAAGCATCTTCAAAATGATGACCGTTTGCTTTTGCTTGTATAGATCTCCCGACATTGGCTCAGAAATAGAGACTGAGAGCGGCAGAACCCCAGATCGCGCCAACCACTCAGCCGCGGCGTCGCGTCGTAGATGGAGCAAGTGCGTTTCTTCAGATCTCCCTGGAACGGGTATATGAAGACTAGCCCAGAGCGCAGGAGTGGATAAAGATACGCGTCTCCAGGCACTGCATACACGGCCGAAGAGAATGGGGGCCTCTTTGTGGCTCATTACAGCATTTCTTCCAATAGGAAGGCAGTGAATGAAAATCTTCCCTAAGAGCTCTTGAGGGACCTTGCGTATCGG